TGGGAGATGCCTGTGTTCCTCAGGGAAGTGCCACCCGGGGGTTTGCCCAGTCCGAGGGGATGGTGTGAGAGCCTGAGGGCTGCACTGCCACTCCAGGCACCTGGGGGAGAAGGAGATGCTGCCCCTTTTCGGTCCTTTCCCAGTGGGACTTTTCCATCCCTCTCACTGCATTCTCATTCTCCCAGCACAGCGATAGGATATATTCAGTTTAAAAATAGGACTGAGGCTGACGTTCCCCTGAGAGAAAGCTGTGCTAACTCACGGCTTATCCTCTGGTCGGAGTTGCCATGATATCCTGCTGGAGGGAATGAAATGGCAGGTGGGGATGAAAAATCCCTCCAGGAGCCCGGGGGCTCGGGCCCGAGGTGACCCTGGCAGTGGCTCAGCTGTCGAGAGCACTCACGCAGCAGCCACCACATCTGCCCAGGACCGAAGGATTTGGGGCCCAGACTGCTCTGGCTCCAGGAGGGAGAGCAGCCCCTGGGCAGGAATGCCGGGAGCCCAGGGGCCCTGCTCAGTGTTTGGTGGGCACAGCAGGACACACGGCCTGGAGGGGTTTAGGGGATGGATAGGAAAAGGGGCCCCCACTCCATGGCTGTTTGGGGAGACACGCGTTTGGAAGGGCTGGCAGAGGTTTGGTGCTACAGCTGTCCTGCAGAGACCTGAATTATGTGCAGTTCCTTCCTCCTTAAGCTGAGCTATCCCCCCCGGAAAGGCCACAGGGACACCAGCTCCGCACGTGGGAGCAGAGCCAGCCCCAGCCGGTGACAGGGGGGCAGTGCCGAGCTGTGGCACTCACGAGGCCCTCGGGAGGAAGAGGATGATGGCTTTTGGCAGGGAAACTCGGCCTTTGGCCTCTGGGAAATGGGGCTTGACCCCGGGCAACCCCAACAAACAGGAGCGTGTCTGCCATGGCAGCAGGGCCACTCCGAAAGGGCAGGAGGGTTTGGGGTGCCCTTGGGGACAGGCAGGTGTTTGACAAGGGACTTGCCCTGTTCCAGTGGGGCTGCTGAGCCCCGTGGCCTGTGGCATGAGGGGTGTGGCAGCTTGTAACCCCCACAAAGTGCCCCAGGCCCTTGGTGCTGGGACTGGGGCGCCTCAGGGGGATGTGCTTCCTCCTTAAAATAAACGTGGGAAGCCGTGATCCGACACCCAGCCTTGGGAGATTTAGCGTGGCCTCGTGGCGGCTCCCGGCACCACGTTAATCCCACAGCCCTGTGGGGCCGGACGAGATGCTCTGCGGGCTCTTCCCTCTGGGGCCGCGGCCACGGAGCCCCTGGGGCTGCAGCGGGGCAGCAGTGCCGGCTCCTCGGGGTGCCAGGGGTGCTCTGGGGACGTGCTGGTGCCCCCCAGCTGGCAGGGCTTGGGGGGCACCCGGCCCTGTGCCCGAGTTACCCCGCATCACCTGGGGAGGTGCCGTGTGGGTGCTGCTGCTGAGGGATGCTCGGAGGCTGCATTTCCTGTGTCAGATGAGCTGCAGGTCCTGCGTGCCCCATCAGGGGCCAGAGCCCCTATCACGCTCAGAAAAGTCGCATTATTTCCATGGCTGGGCTGTGAGGATGCCTCCAGTCCCAGCTGGCTTGTGGGACCCAGACTTCCCGAGTGCGGTGTCCATGGCACGGGCAGCTCTGATCCCAGGAGGCTGGTGTAGGTGGTTTCCCCAGGGGTGAACTTGTTCTACCACAGCCCAGCCAGGAATTGTGCCCCAAAATGGAGCTTTAAAAAACCCTCCAACCAGCCCGTATCCATCCCAGAGTAGATGGAGCAGGAGCTGGGTGGAGCCAGGCAGCTGAGGAAGGAGCAGGGACGTGGGAGAGGAAATGCAAACCTGTCAGACTAAGTTGTATTTATTTTTTTCTCTGTCACGCCGATGTGAAAAGAACTGTGATTTATTCTGGGATTTCTGTCATCCTAGGTATTTTGGAAATATTTGCTGTGTCTCAGGGGATTGTAGGAATACGAGGAGTTTTCAGCAACAAATTTTTAGCGATGTCAAAAAAAGGAAAACTCCATGCAAGTGTAAGTAAACCCCCCCACCCCCCCCCACCCCAGTATGTGTGGTGCATTTTTAAAGGCTCTGTGACACCTCCCAAGCGCCACCAGACACCGAGGGGACAGGTGGAGCCGCAGCCCCCCGAGCCCACCTTCCTGCTCGGGGCTTTACCGTGTGCGGAGCGCGCCCTCGGGAGCGCGCCCGGCGCGGTGTGCATCAGCAGAGCCGGCTCCCCGAGCGCGGCCGGGTTATTTTTAGCTGCCGCAGATCGCGCAGAAGGGTTTGGCCAAATGTCTCCTCCCGGCGGGCAGCACGCGTGGCGCCGGCAGCGCCGCGGCTCGGGCTGGCTCTGCCCTTGGCTGCAGGGAATTGGGGCAGGTGAGGGCCGGGCTGCGGCCAGGGTGGGAGAATCCCGGTCACCTTTCTCTGCAGGGTGTTGGCCTGGAGGCTGAGGTCTCCTGCAGGTCTCATGATGCTTTTCCCAGCTCTCTGTGTCGGAGGAATCCATAAGCTGATTTCGCTGCTGGTTCCAGCCTCGGGATGCTGCTTCCCTGTTTCTTGCTGTCAGCTCCAGGGACGGTTTAGGCAAACACAGTGAGCCTCTGTGCTTGCACCCAAGTGGGTGCCTCTGAAAGGTGTGTGTACATGTTAGGGGCATTTGCAAGGCAGCATTTCATCCCTGAGGGTGCTTCCCAGGGAGCCCGGCCAGGGCTGGGGAAAAGGAAAAGGGTGTTACCAACCCCGCAGCTCTGAGACAAACCTCCCGGTGCCAGGGCGGATGTCACGGATGTGCCTGCGCTGCCCGAGGCCTCAGATCACCTCCAGAGGGATTTCTGAACTCACCTCTCTCTCCCGTAAGCCTTTCTGGTGTGTTGCTCCTACAGCCTACTGATGCTTAGGTGAGCCTGTGCTTGCTTCTTTTAAGAAATTGCCTAGGAGCATGAATGGGATCTAAGGGAGAAGGGGAATGGTTTTATGGAGGAAAAAACATGAGGTGAGAGCAGAGGGGCAGAGCGGGAGGAGAGGGAAAGGATGGAGAGGAGATTGCTGGACCCCCTCCAGAGCCTTCTCCTCTGGCGTACAATGGGCCTCTTATCTGAGCTGCAGCCTTGATTTACGCCCTGGCACAGGCAGAAATTAAATCAAGCCTCGTTGGGGCACGGTTAATTGTTGACACACAAAGGGCAGGGCCGGAGAGGGACCTCGGTCGGAGGGTCAGGGCAGGGGTGAGGACATGCGGTGCCCCGCTCGGGTGAGAGCTGCAGAATTGTAGAAACTTGACCCAAATGTCTCAAGATTGCTGGGCTGAACAATGCCAATAATGCAAACCCAGCATCTGTTGTTCTTTGCTGTGCTGGCAGGACGGGGGTTATTTCATGGCCTAATGAGTGCTGAGCAGCACAAAGCACGTCCTGTGCCCGTCACTCAGGGCAGAGCCTTGATATGGGAGTCAGGCTGGGGGCTCCACACTGACCTGCAGGCAAAACTCATTCCTGCAGGAATCTGGGCTCCTCCAAAACTCGCTCTCGGGCTCTGCTCCATCCCAGCTCGGTGTTTCATAGGCGCTCTCCTCCTCCTCTTTCTTTTCTTTTCTTTTTTTTTTTTTTCATGCCAGCTTAATTAAATTACCGAGTGGTTCATTTTTAGAGGCGCCAGCTTCGGAAGATGACAGATATCCCAGCAATTATCAGTTGTGTGCACAGATGGCTTTTTCCTCGTTGGTAAACCCTCGTTCTCCTGTTTGGCCATTTTTAGCACTGAGAGGGTGGAAGGGGTTGTGTGCCTGTCCAGCATGGACCCCGGGGGGACTTGACCAGGTAATTCTCCTTTCCCAGGAGCTGCCACCAAGCTGCATTCCTGGCTGGGGCAAATCTCTGCTCAACTGGGTTTGGAAATTTAATCAACTCCAGGTCAGCTCTGGAGCTCTGCAGAGCAACTCCAATGCCAGCCATGTGATGTGTCTGCTCCCCCTGCCCTGTGTGGGGAAAAAAGTGGGTTTTCCAGGCTGGAGCACTGCAGTGATGAGCTGAGAAGCCAGAAGGTGGGCAAGTCTGACAGGATCGTGGTGAGGGAGCTGCTGATGCACTTCCCAGGCATGTGGGACATCCTGCCTGATCACTGGGGCTGCAGGGAGCACCAAGGGTCAGCAAAGCCTTGCTGGGAAAGGTGGAGGCCTGTGCATGGGGCAGACAGCAAGGGAGAGTGTATGGAAGATGGGGAGAGCAGAAATGAGTCACAGAGTTGGTGTCCCTCGGGACCAGCAAGCTGAAGAAGGCCTAAATCCAAGTGCTATGAGGCGAAATGCTGGTGGCAGGCTGTGGGCTCTGTCACTTGTGCTGTAAGGCTCAGCTCCTTGGGTTAAATCTGGGATTTTGAACATTTCCCTTGTGCTTACAAAGCCCTGCTGGGGGTTGGGTCTTGCTCTGGGTGGCCGGTTTGGGAGCTGCAGAGCTCAGCATCTCCTCCATGTCCGTGGTTTGGAGGTGTTGCTGTGGAATGGAGCTGGGGAAGCCAAGGTTAAAGTCTGGCAGAGCATTTGGGGGAGCTGTCAGGTGCTACAGACGGGGATTCCAGGGCTGTGGGCACACAGGTGCAGTGCTCTTTGGCTTTGGGATGTTTTTCCCCAGGAAAGCCCAAACCTGGGTGGCAAGCAGCTCCTGGAGTACCTCTACCTGGGGTTTTCCAGTCGGGTGCCCGGTGCTCCGTGTTTCCAGGTGCTCCGTGTTTCCAGCCACTCCCTCGGGCTGGCTTTGTGGGGGCAGCCCAGCCCGGGAGCGCTGGGGCTGGGGCACAGCTGCCCCTCGGCCCGTGCGAGCGGTGTCCCCTGTGTTCCCGCAGGCTCGCTTCACGGTGGACTGCCATTTCCGAGAGCGCTTCCAGGAGAACAGCTACAACACCTACGCCTCGGCCGTGCACCGCAGCCCCCGCTCGGGCCGCCCGTGGTACGTGGCGCTCAACAAGCGCGGCAAGGCCAAGCGCGGCTGCAGCCCCCGCGCCCGGCCCCAGCACGTCTCCACGCACTTCCTGCCCCGCTTCGGGCACCCGCAGCCCCCCGAGCTCGCCTTCACCGTGGCCCTGCCCGACAAGAAGCCGCCGCCGCCGCCCAAGGCCCGGCCCGCCCCGGCCCCGCCGCGCAGGAGCCCCGGCCCCGCCCGCTACCGGCTCAAGTTCCGCTTCGGGTAGGGCCGCGCCGGGCGGCTCGGGGGTGAGCCCGCGGCGGGGACCCGTGTCCCCCTCCGCGCATGGACACCGGGAGCCTCCCGGGCCGGGATCGGCCTCGTCTCTTCACCGCACGGACCGGGCGGCATCCCCGGAGGCGTGCCAAGGAGAATTCCTGCCGTGAATTCCAGCACTGGACGGGACCTCGGGTGAGCGTTCTGTTGTTGGGACCCTGAGTAGGAAGGTACCTCTACAGCGAACATGTTTTCTTGTTTTCACTAGTGACTCCTTCGACAATCATTTTCACACGAGAGAGATGTTCAAAACCAAGCGGTTTTGTTTGTTTTTCTCGCATCTCCTTCTTGCTGCACTTTTTCCTCCGACCATACCTCAGGCACCGTGCATCCAGGTCTGTCCCTCTCCCTCTCTCGGAAGCCAGCTCTTCCCTTCCACAGGTTAAACCCAGAGACCAAACCCTGCGAACTCTGCCGCCTTACCTGTGGTGCGGGGCGCTCTCCAGACCCTTTGTTGGCAATAATGGATGTGTGGATGTATTTTGTGGGGGTCGCAGGCCGGGGGACGGTGGCTGCTTGCAGCCCGCCCCTGGCGGTCTCTCCCGTTCTTCCCTGGACAGCTGGAGGAGCGAGTCTCCTCCTGTCCGTCCGAGCACAGATTGGATGCCTGCTTTGAAATACCTCTGCCCCAGTGCCGGGGCATTCCCGCTCCCTGGAGGAGCCCCCCCGCAGGTATCCCCACGGGATAGGGATGCCTGTGGCCCCCAGGTGCCCACCGGTTTCGTCCAACCTTTTTTGCTGCTGATTTATTTTATCACACTCAATACATTTGCAGAGGCAGGAAGCAAGGTTTTTGTTTTCCAGGAGCGTGGCGATGTGGCAATAAGTGCTGGTACAGCTGCTGGTCCCCTGGGGAGTGTTTCCCCCACTCTGGCGGCCCTGATGTGGAATTGTTTCTCCATCGTGATAGTAGCAGTGCACACGGAGTTTGCAGTGGGTGTTTAGCAGCGTTGCTGTTCGTGCAGGCACTGGTAGCATCGAACCTCACCGGTGAAGCCTTAATAGGAGCCCAGGTGGGCTCAGGTTGGCAGAGCCCCTCAGGACATGAGCCCTGCCAGCGTCCGGCAGCAATAATCAGCCTCTCCTCCGCATCTGAGTGTGGCTGTGTCCTTTGGGATTGTGGTTCTTTGCCTTTGTCATCCCTCTGGCAGCCCCTGGCCGGACATGTGTGCTCCATGGGACGGGGATGCTGGAATAAAACTGTTCTGTTTCATTTTATAACCCGATTGTGTGATCTCTTGCCTTGTCTGTGCCTGATTCCCTTCTCCTGAAGGGAAAAACAAGCTGTGATGGGGTGGAGCAGAGCTGAAGGAATGGGTGTGCTCCATTTGCTCTGCCCTCCAAACTGTGCCCTGGGGCATCCCAACTCCGGGGCAGGGGTGTCCTGCGCTCCCCTCACTTCCAGCTGGGCTGTCTGGCTGTGCAGGGACAGAATCCCAGTGATTTGTGCTCAGCTCCTCTCCGCGAGCTGATGGAATCGGAGCCTTTGCAGGTGCTAGCCCAGGCAGGTAACGGAGGAGCAAGTGTGCTGGTCTTGGTGCCCCTGCATGCCCTCGGAGGAAACAAGGTATTGATTTCATCTTTTTTTTTTCATCTTTTTGGGGGAAAACCCTCGAAAGCTGGTGTTTTGCTGTTGTGGTAATAATTAAAACATAGTCATGCAATTGAAACAGGGAGCAGGGAGAGCAGGATTGGGGAATCCAGCAGGCACTGCCTATTCCTGTCAGACACTCCTCTTTAAGGGAATTCAAGGGGCTTGCTCAGCACCAGGGGACTTAAGGCCTGAGAATGTGGCCAATATTTATTTTAAATTTAAATTTTTCTTTTTTTTTTTTTTTTTTGTATTTTTTTTTTTTTTTTTTTTTTTTTTAATATTTATATATATATAAATTTATATTTTTTTTTTTTTTTTGGAGTGTTTTTCCTGTTTGTTTTCCTGTTCAACCATCTCAGAGGTACCACTGCAGTGCTGGAGAGAACAAGCCAGAAACCTGAGAGGACGAAGAGGATTCCTAAGTTCCTTTCCAGGCAATTTCCGCCTTCAGAGGAGGTGCAAATCCACATGGAGCTGGGAAGGGCCATGTGAGGAGTGCAGTGAGATGGCACTGCCCCCCAGCTCCCTGGTTTGGAGACATCCATCGACCTTGTGAGAGGAAAAATGCCTTCCCATCTATTTTCACCCTGCAGTCACCCCTACCGGAGGCATATGCCTTGTTCCACATCCCCCCGGAGGATTTGTGTGTGTCCTGCACTCACGAATCCATGGTTTGGAAGGAGCAGCCTTGAGCCATGAGTGAGAGGAAGAGGATTTCCTATGGAGCAGGTGAGGAAAGAAAAATGAACAAATGTCAGAGCTGAAGGGTCCCTTAGGGTGCTTCAGGGATCTCAGGGCTGGAGACCCCCGGGCCGGGCTGGGCTCCGTCAGCAGCAGAGCATCGAGGGGCACTGGGGCAGACACAGAGTGTGTGTCCCCCGCCACTGAGGGTCAAATAATTTGGCACAAACACCGTCCGGAGGTGTGAGCTGAGCTGGCAGTGGGGCTGGCTCGGGTGGGCAAAGGCAGCCTCTAGCTGCTCCTGGCCCAGAAAGGTGAAGGAGATCCTGTGCAGGGCTTGTGGAGTAGGATTTGGGCGCTGAGTTGCTCCCAGGGACGATCTGCTCGAACAAGCTGCGTCACAGCGACATCCCACAGCTCCCAGGCGCTGGAATTTGCATCTCCGAGGTGCCAGTGCGCCCTGCTGGGAGCCAGCTCTAGGGGGAGCGGGATGCCCACAGGCAGTGTCGGTGGCAGGGCCGGTCACCTCCAGGTGTGCTCCCGGGGACGAAGGGAGTGAAGCCAAGCGCCTGTTTGGCTGTGGGCACTGTCACAGGGTACGCGCTCCTCCACCCGGGATGTTTTCTGTTGTTACGGCGTGTCCCCACTCCTTCAACTCGCCTTGGAAAAGCCTTGGGGCTTGTATTGATGTGCTCCCCGAAAGTCTCTGGCAAGGGCAGCTCAGGCACAGCTAATGCAGTTTCAGGCTTTAGATTTTTCCTTTTTTTTTTTTTTAAGCTGTGCCTTCTCACACTTGTGGCAGGCAGCGTGCACTTGCTGTGAAAGCTGAGCCTGCCTCGGTAATTCTGGGCTTTGCAGCCATGCATCATCTAGTCCTGTGCCTGGTTCCCTCTGATTTCTGTTCCTGCCCTTGCTTCTCTCTGATTCCCTGGTGTGCACATCTTCAAACACTTACTGGTGTGCTTTCCTGGCCTCTTGAGGAAAATACATTAACAACTACCATAAATAGTAGTTTGGGGGGGACCTTGCTATGAGGAGCTAAAAAACATTTTATAGCACTTAGGTTGTCAGCATAGCTGGTGAACGGTAGAGCCACTGAGTGGCTTCCTTGTCCTGTGTGATTTTTCCCCTTTTTCTGGTGCTGTGAGATGATTATGGCATAATTTACTAGCATGTGTCAAATGTCTTTGGTAGCATTTGTGGGCCAGGAGCACATGTGCTGCATAGTTCAGCCATTGCCATACCTCATGTGCTATCCTGTTTCAAGCTCCTAATTCAGGAAAAACTCACTTTTTTTTTTTTTTGCCTTTTAAATTAATTTTTTTTATTGTTATGCAGGATTGACTCTTCACAGAATCATAGAATCCTAGAATGGTTTTGCTTGAGAAGAACCTTAAAGTTCATCTCAGTCCATGCCCCTGTCATGAGCAGGGACAACTTCCATGGGACTGGGTTGCTCCTAGTGCTGTCTAATCTAGCCCTGAACATACCCAAGGAAAATAATGGGAGTCTTTTAGTCCACAGCTGGGACACAGGACCACAGGTTGTTAATCCAGGAGAGGTTGCTTGGGTCCAAACAGAGAGGTTTGCTCTTGAAATCCCAGATGGAACTGATCCAAACCAAACCTGGGTTTGAGTTCCATCAGCCAGAGGAGGGAATGAACCCTGGTGCCAGCCATCCTGGGGGTGCCACACAGGTCTTAGCATTTCTCTACTGTCATTTGCTTTGTGTGATTCTCCCTTGATCAGAGAGGGCAGAAGAAGAGGCAGGAGGGGGAGCTCATTTTGTTTCTGTGAACTCCAGGCTTAGGGCAGCTGCAGAGAACTTTGGGTGCAAATAATCCTGCCCAAACACAGTCAGCTTGAACCTCTCTTGGGCACTTTTGGATCCCTCTGTGCCACTCTTCCTCTGATCCTTTAGCTGTGAGGTGTGGGCTCAGAAACACCTGCCCCTACTGGATGCACTTTTACACATATAAATTTAGATTGCTAGGAAAGTAATCAGATCTAATGGAAATGTATTCTGTTTAGAATACACACAGAAAGGTGTTTTGGCAGACTTGTTAACAGTAGGTCTTGCACTTTGTTTCTACTGTTTTTTTTTAATCCTGTTTTTAGGAGGACCACTAAATTAGAATATTAAAAGTGAGGGCGAAAATGTTGCTTTTCATTTTTTATGCTTTGCATTGGGCGTTATGTCAAGTGATTCCACCGAAATATAAACTGAATAATTGACCTTCAGGCCTCTGCAGTTCATTCCTTTACTGTGTTTCAGTGGCTGCAGGCACTAGAAACACCAAATCCCAAAGCATTCCTACATCTGTGACATCAAGTGCAGCATCTTTAAACCCAAGTGCTCAGTGTGGGCTTTCCAGGTGGGTGCAGATGGTCCATCCTGGCAGGGTGTGGGAGCCCCTGGCCCCTCAGGAGTCAGGCCAGGCTGAGGGAAGGAGGAGCCTCCTCACAGCTCCAGCTGGGGATGATATTGGCTGCTTGAAACCCTTGGTCCAGAGCTGGGAGAACTGCAAGAAGAGCTTTTCTTCTTTCTGTTCATCACTGGGTGGAATATTAAGGCGATGCTGCAATAATCCCTTTATTTTGTGTTTGTTTTCCCCCTTGGATTTTTACTGTTTAATCCTGTGAGCATTTCCAGTCTTGGCTATGCAGGCTTCTGAAAAAGCCCAGCAGGTAGGCAGGTGTTTGTTTCATAGGTGTTAGGTATCATTTGTATCATAGGTATTTGCCCATGAGTGTTTGTGTCAAATTTGGAGGGGTGTGGGTTTTGTATCTGGGGACCACTCAGGCCATTGGGCCTGAAAGTCATTCCTCAAGTATAGAAACCAAGCAACTTAATTCCAGGTGTTGTGTCCCTAATGTTCCTAATACAGTATAAAGTATCTTTTTAAGAGACTGAGGTGTTTGGTTACCTTTGTGCTGTAGACAGGGGATTTGTTAGGCTGGCAGCAATGTTTTCCCACCTGGAGGTGTCTTACAGTAATCAACACAAACAGTAATTGGCTGTCCTTTTTTTACTCTCTTTTCATTGTAGTTTGGGGAAAACGTTTGGCTTGAATGAATCAAATGTGTTTAAGTGCTTCCTTTCTAGAGGAGTACTCTGTCATTTTCTTATGAATCCTCAAGCAAATGGAGCTAGAATCTGAGAAATGGATTTGCCTGGGATTCCTGCAGTTCATGGTTTGCTGGGTAAGGGTTCTTTTGGCCAAGATAGCTCTGAGTAAAGTGTGAACTCCAGCTAAGATAAGATAAATAGTTACTAAAGAGAAACAGTTTCAAAATAATTGTTGGGGTTTTTTTAATTTTTGGCCAATTGTGCCTCAGGTAGGGACGCTCCAATGACTGTGCCTTGTTGCAGCTCCCTCCACCACAGATGGGCCACAGGAACATGCACCCTGAAAGCGCTGGATTTGGGGTGTTGTGTATGCATGGGAGGCTCAAGGGCTGCACTTGCTTTGACTTGACAGCTGAATTATGTGTTCTTTTCCTCTGCTCATTTGTTCCTGTAGCCTTTTCCTCTTTTTCCTGCCATTCCCTGCAGTTTTGCTCTTGTTGCCACCAAGAAACTTCATGCCTATTTCCACTGTGCTTTCCAGCTGCTGGCTTGGGGCTTGCTCTTGTGCAGCACACGTGGGTCCCACAGCCTGCTCCTTGGTCCTGTCTGGTCCCTGGCCTCTGTGCTTTGGCCCTGGTGTCAGGGAGGGAGGTGCCAGGCTGTTTGCTTCGTGCACAGGGATGGAAGCACTTGGAGCATCTTTCATTACTTGTCACACCTGGCTTAGGCTTTTGTGGGGCTTTTGTTTTGTTTTTCTAGAGAAAATCAAAGCAGTAGGCTTAGCACACGAAAGATCAAAGAGGTTTTACCTCTAGAAGCTGGGGAGAGTGGTCTAATCTTTCCTCCTACAAGCTTGTAGAGTTTTTCCTTCCTTTT